CCAGTCCAATTATTTTAATCTGAACCTGAGAGCTAAAGTTAATTGGGTTGAGCATCGGCTCGCGGAAGTCTTTATTGGGAATCCCGACATCAACTGGATTACCAATTATCATGCTCAGCACATCTACGCAATTGCCCAGGTTTTGTCTTCCTGAGGCGCCGCTATCGTGACTCTTTCTTATCCGATCATGATCAATCACTCACAAAAATGCCAAGTTCAGGGATCTAGGAGGCATATAATTTTTTCCAGACCAATAATACGCAATAAGAAACCCAGTTGAAACGATGAAAATCGCATACTTCATCATCGAAGAGTCCTAGCGAGGCCAATTGACCACAGCAGTGTTTTGGTGCCTGGAAACTACCCCATGTTTTGAGCCAATTGGGCTCTAGCTGGTAACGGAATAAGCTTCTTTTGCTCCCATGGATTGTCGATCACGATACCCGCTAAATGCTGCATGATGCGGCAAGGGCTGAAGAATTTCAAGCGCGACCTAGCGCATCGGCAAAGAAATGAACCGATATCTTGGCGACAAGGGAGGCTTGAAGATCCGCTAAACAAATCTATCCTCGGGTTGATACGGCTTCAATATCCCTAGTCAACCCCACTTCGATTTGAAACTGGAGGTACATTTAGTATTATAGCATCTTTCTCTTTCCCAGCAACGAACGTTACCTTAGCAGGCTTCTTGACCTTGACACCATCTTCCTGCAGAAGATAACACTTTGAGGAAGTAGAATTCCGATGGTTCCATACAGTTTTTACGTAATGTATCCCGGTGGATTTTGCTAACCTGGAAATCACTAGAGATCTTCCAAATATGAGACGGGATTGTGTACTATCAATATATGTAAAGTAATGGCACCTAAATGCATGTATGTACCTTTAGTATGGCTATGAGAACTAGCTCCTTTTAGTCGATTCTGTTGAAAAACATTCTGTTGAAACGAATACTACGTATATTTTAGATCTAGAGTTCACCATTATATATGTACATGTGAAAGTGGGGATTATGTTTTTAATCATAAAAGATCACTCGCTATATCACTTATCGGCCTTAGATCAAGCACGGAATTGTTCGACCCACCTATTTATTAATATTACAGAATTCGATTATTTGTTTACCTATTCATTGAGACCAATCACAGAAGGATTATATTAGCGGACAGCAATATAAAGTCAATCTTTCATCATGACCATGTCACACTAGCAGAGATAGGACTTCTGGAACAAGCAGGCGGTGCTTCCAGGCTGGTCCCGGCAGAAAACACATTCACATAGTACCGCAAAAATCAGAGAATGGGTATCCTCATATGTATATACACACCTGTAAATATGGTACCCTATCGATCTTGAGCGAGCTCTAGTATAGCTAAGGGATGTTTACCGCGAAATTCGATATTATGGCCTCCCAATATGCTGTACCCTAATTTGCATGCCCTGGATAGCCGTTTCCAGTTTTTTGTGGTGATAGAGTAACGGTGAGGTTTTTAGCATAAAATAAATCATTCAAGGCGCTATTAAAGAGAGTCGAGTCACGTGGAAACTTCCATTCCATGCCGGCTGGAAAAACACCCCCCCACATTTTCGGTGCGGGCAACACTCGCCTGTACCGAAATTTAAATCGATCGTGAGCGGGCAGCGGGATTGATGAAACTTTCTCTCTGACCGGTTCTCCAGTTCTCATGACCGTTTAAAGGAACTAAAGCCTCACTACATGAATTTTCCAATTATCTTTACAAAACTTACGATTGCCTGTGGCAAGATACGTAAATATAGTGATCGTATTTAGGTTTTTGTCCCCGGACGGGTCAGAATATGAATCATGGTGTACACGGCGGTGTGCTGCCAATTGGCATCGAAATTCCCTTTTGAGATTCGGGGGGAGATTAGCCATGAGCATGGGGCGGTTTGCGCCAAAACCCACTAGTACTTAGTATTTACATGTACTTACTTTTTTGAGGTTGAGAAGGAGGTACATGTACATGCAGTTGCCAGTACAAGGCATCAGCAAAAGATGACTTACATCCGAGTGCAAGGTGACTCGTTGGAGGCGCGTTCTAATTTTGCCACATATATACGCCCTACGTATACGCATACATCCACGTCTCCCTGATACTGTATGCACATGTAGTACCTGCCGCTGAATACACCTATTCATCGAATATCCCTCGGTTCTCTTCCTATATTCATCCTCTTGTGGCCTTATATTATCCAACCCTAGCACTTTGATATTTGGCCTGAGACAGCTAAGAAATTGCATCTAGCTTAGCACAATAAAGTGATAACTGGGTTCACTCACAACGAGTTACGGATGGAAGGCGGGTGCGGTTCCATGGCGCATCTATTAGGCGTTGGCTTTGCCCAGCGAACCGTTTCCGTCTTCTAGCTATAGTTCGCTGTGCCAAAATTTGTGTATATATCATCCACTCCTTGGTGGCCCCGAGAACCCTCGAAGTAAAGCTAAAGACAGATATGAGTCTCGAGGTACCCCGACCTTTATGCACCTATTGCATGATATCATCGTCTGGCCTTGAAGCTATGGCATTCAAATAGGGCCGGTCGTAAGCCCCCAGCTTTGCGCACCATGATATTTTCCGCTGATAATATTCTGATAGTACGAAGGTTAGCTGGTAGGGTAGGATCTAGGAGACAATAGCGATCTCTCTAAGTACTGGCATGGTAGACGGTGCAGTCGGAACGCCAGTCTTAGCCGATGATGCGTGTGATGTTTCCCTATATATATATACCGAATGATGTAAGTTGTCTTCTGGTAGTTGGGGGGGCATGAATACTGATAGGGAATTTAGAGACGCAGGGACTGAAGCCGAGTAGGTCGAAGGTCGGAGTGGTATCGAGGCAACCTCGTGTCCCAGCCTCGAGCAGCCTCATGTACCACAGTGCTAGTCAGAGAAACCATGTAAGTGTTTATATCCTAGTACTCTATGCAAGTGTTGACTATTTATGTGTATTCTAGCTCTATATAAGCGCTAGTCTACTACTTGTTCAATGCGTGCATGCTATCTATACAACTACATGTACCTATTAGGGTCTATGACACAGATACCCATTCCCTGTTAGTCACTTCCTACATGATGCTTACCCACTACTTCATGTGCATTTGCCCAAAATTCACTGACTATTTGGATGCTTACATACATCCAGTCTCTACCTATCCCTTCGTCTGTTCCCGGTAATCACAACATGTTAGGCCCACGACGGCGCCGTGATAGACACAATTTTAGCGAAAACCAGTATACTCCACTACACTTTAGAGAGATTTTGCGTGGCAAGTGGGTCAATCTTGCACCGCCAGTCGACGGTTCAGCTAGCTTCTGCAATTTGTATGTAGGTGAGCCACAGATCGCCGCATGTCCTGAAAACACACGAAGGGATACAACCAAACCAGTGGCCGTTTACCTCCTATTAAGTTAAGACCCCAGTTCGCTACCCACTTTACTACATCTTATATGCTACTAATCTAAACTTATCTGGTATATACTTTGAAAGGGGGCTAGAAAATACTCTTAGACGTTACATGCATGTATGTACATGTAGTAACGTCTTTTGCTTGCCAAGGCTTACAACTATTGGTTAATGTATGCCAAGCCCCGAGTGATACGCTGTGGTTGAGTACATATATACAAGCCGGACCCGTACACCCGCAACTAACTAGATAAGGCGAAAATATCATACTAAAGCTAGGGCTAAGCTCTTGTATTTGATTTTATGAGACAGTGTTCATGAAGTACTCGAGGCCGTCCCAACATGTGAGCAGGTGTTTCAATCTTGCCACCGTTTTTGCACTGCAGCTATACATATGAGCCAGACCGAGGATGTCCTCACTAGCATGCGCATAGAACCTACGGTAGGTACATACTTATACAAGTGTGCATATATTTTATGAATCGAATCACCTTTTTTAGGGCCCCATCAGATTGATGACTCAATTATGGCTAAGAGGGCCTAAAAGCTAACTGCGGGGCAAACGAATGTGCTTCTCGATATTTGCGATTAATTGGTACTTAGTATATTATTATGGAATCGAGGAGATTTAAGCCATCTATAAGTACTGCGATTTTCTAGGAAACCCCTGCCTGTATATGTAAGCGGCCTCCTTGCATATTATGCAGGTATTTGTAAGTTGGTGCTATCACCATTGCCATGGCGACTACATTAAAGCAGCCTATTCCGTATATGTATCTAATAGCATCCGGCACATGCTGATTCCGTTCTTACAAAAATTTAATAATACAAACTCCGCCAAAGTCCGCAACATCACCTCTTAAACCGATCTTTGACCCTCAGAAGGCTGGAAGGAAACACGAATATCATGGCTCCAAAACTATCGCTCGCCGAGACCCTCGATCTTATATTTGGGTTATTCCAATTCAGTAAGTTGAAACTATATTCCTCTTTCGCCCTGATAGGCATCACTAATAGCACGCCTACTAGTTTTGCAAATAATCCAATACAGGATTATCAGTCTCCTGGGCATCGAATTTTCTCTGGCTCGAGAGAAAAATCTAGGTATCTTCAAGATCGGCTATGTCTGTCGGCGCTTCTTAATTTGGCAGATACGGTGCGTCAATCCGCCATTGCTCACTCTTATATTCATAGTCGCAATGCTTCTATAGCGTGTATATGCAGATCTTATAAATTAGGGACTGATTCGGGACACAGTGCGATAACTGGAGAATCCAGTACTCGGCCCACATACCTACGCTACTGTGAAAGCCGAAATATCAAACCCTGTATCGAGCCAGTGCCCAACGGTGGGTATGCGCTCTGGGTAGATAAAAAGCAGTCACCTGAGAAGGTTTTAGTGTTCATTCATGGTAGGTCGATATTCCCTCTCAATTCCGCCGCGCTAATCGGCTGGAAAATGTCTAGGAGGTGGATTTCACGTCGGGTTATCGAGCGGTCATATTAAGTTTATCGACTCCGTAATCACGGAGGCAAAAAGTCCGGGGTTTCTTTATCCACCGTGATCCTATAGTATGGTTCGTCTTCAATTTCCTCCATCAGACGTCCGCGTGACTAACAACAAGAAAGATCTGGCACCTGAAAGCAGGTATCCGACACAACTCATCCAAGCCATTTCGCTTTTCAAGCATATTCTTGGCTCGGGAATCAGCCCATCGCAAATTATCCTCGGCGGTGAGTCTGCGGGCGGAAATCTAATACTAGGCCTCCTCTCACATATCCTTCATCCCAATCCCGAGTTCCCAATACTGCCTGAACTGTTGTCCCAGATTGGCGGAGCAATTATAATCTCCCCATGGGTGTCGTTCGACACAAATAGCGAGTCTATGCAGGGCTATAATTCCGAGCATGATACTATCTTCCCGGGTATCATGGATGCGTGGTCAAGCAGCTATCTCGGGTCGCAGGAGGCGAGGAATGCATATTCGGAGCCCATTAGAGCGCCGGAAGGATGGTGGAGTGATTTGCAGGGCGTGGTAAAGAGGATTCTTATTACCGCGGGGGCAGAAGAGGTGATGCTTGATGACTTGGTGAAGTTTTCACAGGTGTTGGGAGGGATGAAGGGAGTAGAGTTTAATCTTGAAAAGGGGCCACACGCAGTTCCAATACACTCTAATGAAGAGGGTGGGCCAGAAGGATCGGTGATGTGGAGTAAACAGGTGAGGTGGGTAGGGGAGACATTAAAGGAGATACCCTAAAGTTTACTTCAGGGTTAAGCGAAGAAATGTGAGAAAGGCCAAAATGCTGAGTGCTCTGAGGTCTTAATGCTGAGCCAAAGGTGGAGGTGGACAAACATGATATAATGTACATATAGTTATCCATGTTTGATATCGAGAAAATAATCAACGACCACCACCAACAGATTACTACAACTCTGGGAACGAAACTATGTACTTCGAATTAGGTAGTAAAAGCAATCGCATATATTAAAGACTACTACAAGTGCAAGAAAGGAGGGTCGAAAGCCGCGCAGCGACTTGAGAACCCGACTTCGAGCCCTTGTAGAGTAAGAGCACTTAATTAGATATATAAAAGCTTCAGCTCCAGTTTAGTAGGTGATACATAAGTGATTTGTAACATGTCTTCGGCGGTTGCAATGGGGTTTGTAAATGATATCTATATCTATAAAAAAACTTATTAACGGGGATTGATATTTTTATCCGGGGGATGGGAGTAACATTCCATGTTAACTCGGGGATCAAGGGCTAGAGTTCGTATTAACTTGATGCCATAGGTGCATGTATTATGGTCACTCCTCATATTTATTTCTTCTTTCATACACAAAAAGACCAAAAAGTACTGCACATATATCTGCCTGACCAAAATTCACTACTCCCACCTTGGATTAAACCATGGACCTTCTATACAACATGTAGTGATATGCAAGGCCTAATTTCATTACTTTGTAGATTAGTAAATTCTTCTCCGATTAACCTATCAACGATTTACATCATAATAACCTATAGCTTATAGAAAACATAGGGTTTTAGGCAGCTGTACGTACGACCATGGCACCATAGACCTGACTGACTATGAGGAAGGCCTATATAATAATTAGATCTCGTCCGCGTCCAAATTCTTGATCCGCCATTAATATAAATGGATAAATGGTGTTCCAAATCTCTCAGAAGAATTACTACGGTATAAGAAGTCACAAATACATAATCACAATGATCGGTTGATCAGAAATACGCGGGTATTAAGCAGAATCGAGTGATTTATTATGATTGGTATTAACGGAAGGTAGAAAAGAGGATCTGGGCCGGGTAGGATTTGTATTGTTGGTTAGGACAACAAAATTGCTTTGTATTTCTACAAGAATTCCATCACGCTATAGATATATGGTTGTAAAAAAAACAGGATTGTTTAACTTGTATATATAACTACACAATATGAAGTAACTAAACGTAGCTACTAATGCGCGTGAATAAGTTTTTCCATTATGCAGCCGCAGCTGGAGGATGAAAGGATGGGGGGACGGAAAGATAAAAGGGAGACGCTAAATTACTAAAACCTGTGCTTGGAAAATCAACTTATACTTAGTTGATTTCAAACAAACTCTGTCTGAACAGAGCCATATTTAACACCTTTTTACGATTAAGAAATCAGTCCCACATATAAATCATTGATAGGGTGTCCGAGATAAACATACCATCGATACGCATCACAAAACTTATAGATGCCGAATCCATCGTCATCTCCAGGTCGTACGAGATCTGATATTGATCTGGATCCCCCAATGTCTTACTCTTCCTTCTCTTGAATTTCGATCTAGGAATAGTTGACAGGTCCGCACTCAGCCTACAAACCTCTGTTGTATTCCAGGACTTGTAAGTTGGCGCATTGTCATCATCACAGCAGTAGATGGCGACCTCTTCTGAGGTTAAATTGCTGCTAACCCCCACGGTCCTCGACCAATTGAGTGTCACGGCCTTTGTCTCCGACACAGAGTCCCCCTTGTTGAGATACCATCTCATCAAGTTGGTACACTTGTAAAACCCTTCAAAGGAAGACCAGAACTTGCTGGATTCTGGGTCGACACCTTCGCGAAACCTGCTCCAATACCTAACTCCGTAGTGGCGGCGGGCTTGTCTTTGGGAAATGAGAGGTCCCTCTAGACCACGTTTGAGAGCTCCACGGACAACCGCAGTCCAGCTGTGTTACAAAGGCCGTTAATAAATGAAGGGAGACTTACAAGGAATAGAGAGGGTTACATACGCATTTTTGGGTTGCATTATAATTATTTCAGGATCTACGCACAAAGACAAGCGCTTTCGAAGATAGTCGCTGGCACCAAACCCGCCAACAAGAAGAACAGCAGCGATGTGTCCTCCCACCCTCTCTACATCTCGTATTTGGTTGAGAACAAGTTCTTGTACTTCTGAGACAACTGGTTCAAATATTGTTCGGACTTCTGCGCGGGTTACGATTAGAAAGCCATCTTGAATGCCGTTGTCTTCGGTCGGGTCAATTCCCGGAGTGCTGACAAAGTATTCGTCAACCTGAGCAAGATCGGAGAAGTTGGGTTTGATAAACTCATCAAATTCTTTGATCATTGATGCTTTGGCCTCTGGTCGGATTTTCGCCATGACGTCTGCCCCGATCCTGTTTTCTAGATATTCCTCGAACCTATTGGCAAACTTTAGTACCGATACTCCAGGACTTCCTTTAAATATCCACCCACCTTCGATTCAGATATGTACTGCCACACAGTCCACCATCACCTACTACACTTTCCTCCACTTGTAACGGATTCAATTGCGTCACCTTATACGTAATTAGATCCACAGTTCCGCCCCCTGCATCGCACACAACAAAGTTGTCACCTAACCGCAGGTTGTTTGGTTGGATCGCGCTCAGTGTATATATCGCTGCGGCTTCTGGCTCACTAATACATGAGATACGGGACATTCCTGCTTTCTTTGCACATTCGAAAGTTAAGTTGCGAGCTCGGTCAGACCATAGTGCCGGGATAGTAAGGATATATTCAATGGGTGTGTCATCCACGAATTCTGTTTGCATAAAATGCTTTTAGCTTGTATACTTGTGCTAACCGCATGGCGTTGAAGGATTTGATTATACTTTGACTGTATCTCTTGACCAAAACCCCCATCGTGTGTTTCATCAAGGCAGTAAGATAGTTCGTTACATGTTGTGATGTATCTCCAGAATAACCTGGGGGGAGTTCGGTCCTGCTTGGGTACCTCCTTGCCAGGCTCGATGGTTTGGTTGCTAGTTTCTGGGATGGATCCAGTTGCCTGTTCTCGGAATTAATCGATGTAGTCAGAGCTAGCCAGAGATTTATATATATATACAAATAAACTTACAGTTTGAACCACTGATGTCTTTTCTGCCCTGGCCTGATGTCGAATCCCCATCTGTATCCTCCAGGTGCCCTGTCATCGTAAGAGACCTCGGTAGGGACTTTGTCGGATGTCCTGTTTCCTCCACTGGGCCAGGCAGATATGACTTCTTTATCATCCGGCTCATCTGTGTACGCCTTCATAGAGAGTTAGACAGGGATATTCTATGTAGAGAGATAGCTTTATGGGCAGAAGTCGGTTAAGAGGGGCTCACAAAAGCTACACCAGAGAAAGTAGTACCGAAATCAACTGCGACGATAATCTTTGGCTCTGAGTGGGCATTCATGACTGTAGTAGGGAACTAAGGACTTTGGTAATAGTCGTTGATACAAAACCGCTGCCGATTATATAGTATTTTAAGGCGAGCAAAAATACAGCACACGTCAAAAATTGTATAGATAATCAGTTCGATCTCTTATCATGAGAGCGGCACCTTTCTCATATTTATGAGGTCAAATTAGAATATGGTGGTAGCAATTGGTTGGTTACATACATGTATATGGTTGTAACGGGATGCCTGAACTGAGGCCTTGCAGCAAAACCTTCCCCGCAACAAGGCCTCCCACACAAGACATGTAGGCCGATAAGTTTCGTACTCTCAGTGGCATTTAATTGGCCGTGTGTCTATATTGTGTAATAGCATTGACTTTCATGAGTACCCCGCATGCGCAGAATCAATGGATTACATGTATTAGATATCATCCTCTTTCTTTCCACTCATATTTATCAAAGGGCTACCTGACCTTTCAAAACCACAATTTACACGAGTAAAACCACGATTAGCGTTGTCTGTTGACCCAATCAAACAAGCCTCTCCATAAGCACCATCGCAGTTATATCAATTGATATTACCATCAGCAATGGGGCGGTACAATGGTATGTGCTCTTTCACGATCGGGCTTAAAATTCCTACTCATAATAGACATAGACCCAGACCATAAGATGAAGGATGCCGATGATCATATTACTATGAGCCCAACCGACCCTATGCAGCTTTCCGAAGGACCGAGTGAAAAATGGCAAAACCCTGGGTCAAAATCTTGGACACAACGCACTTTGGGAAGAATTCGCGAAACATCAAGCGCTCCAGTTTTTCCTGGACGTATCACTCGCAAAACAGCTGCAACTGCACAGCGCGCAAGCACCTCGAGCGCCTCTGAAGCCAGACCGCGCCGCCGAAGTCACGACAACCCTGGTGATTACTCTGAAGACTGTGAGAGTTGCACTAGGCTGAATGAATCCTATGAGAGGTTACTCACGGAAAAGGATACCTCTTTTCAGCTAGAATTTCAAAAGGTCACTACGGAAAACGAGGATATGAAAAAAGAGATTGATCGTCTAAGAGCTGTATCAGAAACATCTGGATGCGATGAGAAAGCCCAACAACAGCTTGAAGCCCTTAAGGAACGCATTCGCACTCTGGAATCCGAGTTGGTTTCAGCCCACAAGTACACAGCTGAGCAAAAGTCCGAGAACACTTCGTGTCATACACACATCGACGAGCTTAAAGAGCGGCTGAAAAAATACCACGAAGAAATCGAAGACCTTAAGTTCGAGAGGGACACGTTCCATGGAAAGTTACAGAGTATGACTGGGGATCGCAAAGAAATGAAACAAGCCATCGACAATCTCCGATCAGAAATAGTCGCTCGCGATAATGATGTTCGTGGCTTGAAGCAAGAAATCTCAAGATCCCGCGCCAGCAACCCAGCCTTTATGCCGGATAACAAGATAGTCTCCGACTACCAATATCTCCTCTCGCATTTAAGTAACTGGGCTCTATCGAATTTCCGAAAATTAGAGCCGACAAATGTCGATCAGGTCATTGCGGAATTAAAATTAGATCCTACGACCTACGATGCGATCACTGCGTGTATGAAGGAAACCGCTGGCCGAAAGTGTCTTGCTATAAGCTCGCTGGTAATGCGATTTATTAGTAGAGGTATCTTCCGGCCATTTCTTTTTGGATTGGATGAGACAGAGGAAAAATACCTCAAAAGCCTTGAGTCTAGCCTCGCCGAGCAGAGCACTGAAAAGGAAATCCAATTTTGGCGTTCCACAACTTTAAGAATGTTGATTGCTAGTAAATCGCACAAGAGTAAAGTCGATTCCTCCATAGATAAGGTCGCTTCAGAGATCAAATCTTTCCTCGAAACTATATTTCCACCTTCAGCTGGCTCGCCAGTATCGAATTACGGGGCAGAGGCCTTGAAAACGGTAATCACGCATGCAGCTGAGCTTTCACTAGCGCTCCGTATGCAGCGACCATCGTACACGTTGTCGGCACCACCTTCGGGGAGTCCGTTCCTGAAACACATGGAATCTGCAGAACCTAGCTTAGATAATGATGATAGTGGAGGGGGCCTTATGGGAACTTTAAGACGGACGAAGCCACCACAAGATAAAGTTAGGCTAACGATCTTTCCTTTACTGCACAAGTCAGGAAATGAAGATGGTGACGAGTACGACAAGGTTTTTGTTATACATAAGGGAAAGATACTGAAGGCTTAAAATGTAGTACAGGTATGAATGTAATGTGGGTTATAGGAGAAGGGCTTATTCGTTGGCTTATGTTAAAATGATCAATACGAAAGTTCTCTTTAGTAAAATCAACTTAGGCCGAATCTACACGTTTCAATTTCTATACTTGAAGGGATACATGTACTTTCGATCAAGGTTATGACCCAAAAGTCCAACGTACGCAGTATATATATACCCAGTCAATTATTCCAACGGAATATTTCCGTGTTGACTCCAAGTTATACTCATTTGATAGTTAGATGACCCGCTCTGATGCACTGGCTTATTTCAAATTACCTTGTAGTCTTGTGTGAATATAGTATCTATCATATACTATCACTCGACCTAAATATCGCTAACTAACCATAATGGGCATAGTGAGATATTCAAGAAGTGATAGGGGGGGTGGTTCTCTCAACCAAGAGATATTTGGTAAGTAAGAAATGTGAAAAGAGTGTCTATTCCACTAGGCTCATGAATCAGCTAGCTTGATACTTCTCGTGAAGCTGTGGTTTCCGCGTGGGATTTGTAGTACACCCTCCGACTACATGCAACACGATGGTTTTCGCTGTATCTCAAGACTTTGTAGCATAATCGTGCACCACCACTTGGCGAGGGGAAACTGGTGAAGACGATGCGAGCCTGGCTCCTCGCAGATGCCATATTTTTTTTGCACTCACCAATATGAAGCCTAGCCGGTGGTCACACATCAATATGTCGATTGACTACATGTACCCCCTGTGAGTTCTTCCCAATAAAATACATGTATCTATTATAAAAAAAAGTAGAGCAGGCTTTACTAGCGTATCTCAGCCAAGACGTTTTCGCTTACCAATCAAAACGTGAGCGGAACGTTTGCCAAGCCTCAACTAACCTCCCAATGCTCCTCTAGGCTCTAGGTACTTGACCCTCACTACATGTACATAACCTTCACTCCCCCTTCCCCAATTCAACCCGGAGTAAAACTCGACAAAAGTGGTGAGAAGCGCCTTACATTTCTCCCCACGCAAATCACAGCGACCCATCTTTCTACGCGATCTCGGTTCGGTTACACTGACTGAAGTCGCGTCCAGTCCAAATATCGCGTTTGAGTTTCACTAACCGATTGCTGACAAATACGTCTTGGCATATTTGGTCTTGGCATCATCGCTTCATGATGGCCAACCCCACGTTCTTCAACCAACCTCCCAGCACCTGGAACATCATCGACTACCTCAACCAGCACGACCCAACATCACCATCCTACAACCAGCAGCATACCCTCGACAAATGGATCAAAGCACTAGTCGCCATCTCGAGCGATGCGAAATCCACCCCTGAACAACGCGACAAAGCCCAGCTCCTCAAGGACAAGTATCGACAGGTGGTAGGTGTCATAACCTGCTTTCTTCCCCTCCTTATCCAGATCTGTATGCACAGGCAGTGCAGGGACACAGATGAACTGCTCGCTCGTCTGCTGTTCAAGGCGCGGATGAACTGCTCGCTCATCCGCTATAAACTCTTGCGAGCCAGCGCTGTCTTCCCCCGTGCTACCAGGAACCTGCTCGGTTCTTGGAGTCAGCGACCTGCTCGGTCGCTGGCTGCTCGCGCGGGGGCACCACCGGACCCAGACGACCTGCTCGGTCGCTCTGTTCCCTTCGGTGGTTATCAGATCCTAATAGGCCATTGTTGCTGACACTTGATTTCATAGGGCCGGGACTCCGACCGCATCCGCGCCCGAGAATGGCTTGCCGGTTTGCAGCCGAGCAAGAAGAAGAAGCAGAATGCAGGCTCTTCTGTTAACATTTATAAGGCGCCCGTAATGAACATAGCCCAGGGGACTTTCGAGAATTCCGTGGTCGGCTCGACCATCAATCAGTCCGGGAAGAGGAAAGCATCTGATGATTTAGATGCAAGCGACTGTCTGGGTGATGATGAAAGCCTCGATGAGGATATTGTCCGTGCCGACCAGGACGAGCAGGGAGAAGGCACCCCCGCTGCTGCTGCTGCCCAGCCTCTTCAAGCAAACGATGACCCCCCTTACAAGGAGTTTGTTGCCGCCTACAAGGCAATGACTGACGAGAGCAAGTTTGTATTCTCGGAGACAGGCCGCGTTTTAGAAGACGTGATGTTTGAAAATGCCAGTGTTCTCACTGAAAAGCACACAGCGCACTTGTGGGTAGTTGACTTGGACCACCCCGTCGTCACGTCTTGGTTCCAGCCAAAAGAGTTAGAAGAGCTGCGAAACCAGATGCTGCCCATGCCAGAGCTTGATGAACCTTTCCTGGCGTCCATGGCGAGGTTTTCCCATGTAGGCCTATCTAATTTAATCTATAATACATTTGATCTACCATCTTCTACCTGGATTCTTTCTTACGTATCATCGCAATTGTAGGCGGACACAACAGAAGAGTTCCGACGCATCGTTGAAGAAGTCCCATACCGCCCCAAAGGCGAGCCTTACGACCGCTCAATGCACTTTGACGCCGCATGGGTCAACATCGTCATCCTGTCCATGTAATCTTCCAACCATCTTGCCATATATTCCCATGGCCATATATATAGCGTGATACTTACCACACCCCCACACCACAGGCTCTCCATCCTCGAGTCCCCAAACAACCTCCTCCACTACCCCAACCTCCGCGAAGGCTGGTACGACTGCAACCCCTGGTCATTCCTCATCGACCAATGCCTCCTCGGCCTCAACGGCGTCCTCGTCCAACGGCAACTCCCCCCCCCCTTTTCCCTCCCCCTCCTCCTCCACCCACTAACACCCAACAGCAAAGAGATCCTCTGCCTCGCCCTCAAGCTCGCCAGCCCCCTGCCCACCCGCCGCTTCGACGCCATCATCCACACCCTCGCCGAGTCCCCCGTGCTCGAGTACGGCGCCATCGAGGTCGCAAAGTCCTTCGAGTCCGTCCACGCCCGTAAGTGGAGTAGCGATAGTAGTAAGCTTGCCCTGGCGCTCCATGCGATGTTGGCGCGTCTGCGCGGCGCGGTGGAGAACGATGCGGAGGCGGTAAGGAGGCTGCAGGTGGTGGGATTGATGAATGCGGGCTTGAGGATGCAGGTCGTGAGGATGGGGGTTGTGGGGAAGGGGGGGAATGTGGCCGTGCTGCAGAGGGGGAGGGTTAAAGCTTTGCCGACGGAGGTGGGCGCCCTTAGGGGCGTGTTTGCCGTTATGATTAGTGTGGTTATGTTTAAGGTGAGTTTCTTTTCTTCCTTTGGCGGGTGGGTGGATGGTGTTGACGTGGTGGGGTGGGCAGCGCATGATACAGGATTGTGTGGAGGTTGTGAAGGGCTATAATGGCCTTTCGGGGGCGGGCGCGGGGAAGACGAGGGAGGAGTTCTTGGAGGAGTTGGGCAGGCAGAATGAGCTTTAGTGCTCTGTCCGACTCTGTCTCTCTCCGTCCCCTTTCAACTTTTCTCTGTCCTGCTCTGTTGCGAGGATAGATCAGGATATACAAGTATGCATATAGGCCAGGAGTTTTCAGTACATGCAATTAATGTGCATAATTAGATAGCACCTTAAATAACAAACAATTTCTAAATTTCAGCGGAGTTGTGCAGTTAATTACCTACCCGGGAAACAGATAGAGTACCGGGCCATTAGGGTGTTTTAAGAGAATAAATAGGCCACCCTTCGCAACCGGGGCCAAATGACTACATTAGCCGGTTTATAGATTACGGGAATAATACAGTGACAACAGTAGAGTAGAACCAAAAAGATCCGGATCATGAAGTCACTCGGTGAATATAGATCATAAAATATCACTCGGTTCCCGCGGCCCGCCGCATCTCCCTGTGGAAGTTCGACAGTGGAATCATGGATTATGACTCGGTGTGGTGCGCTTACTAATTCGGCAGGCGGGTTACTTTGTAGTCGAGGGCAATCCTTGCTGTAAGGGCACTGTGACAGAGTTAGATACACACCCGGCCGGTGCGACAGGGCCACGTCTAACCAAGAGCTTTGTGCTTTCATGCCGACGAGTGTTTTACCACCGCACGCAAGTGAGTGAGTGGAACGCCAAAAAAGTTTATCACAAAAAGAAAGTCTTGTAATGATCGCACCAGGGGTCGAACCTGGAATCTCTTGATTTCGGATATGAATCGTAGTCAAGCGCCTTGCCATTGGGCCATGCGACCGTGTGTGATGGCTGCTAAACAATGTTTATAAACAAACACATTAGTTACTAGCGTGGAAGCTGCTAATTGTTAACGGAGAATGCCGCCGGTAGACAGTTTTGGCAGGATTGCTGGGAACTGAGTGACACTTGTAAAGGGATGTGAGGGACTTTGCCAGTCGCTTGCCCGTCACTGGAAGAAGAGACTCGGGCGAGTGCTGCCGTGTGAAGGATATACATAGGATATTAATAACTGCTGTCACGTGGCAGGGCGTCCTCGCTTGAGCTGTCTGTCTTGATTCTGTCTGCAGAAACACTCAGTGAAACAGACAGCTCTCACAGACACTCTCTCACTCACACATTCTCTCACACTCACTGTCTTCGCTGCTGTCACTCTCCTGTCACTCTTCTCCTGTCCTGAGTCTCTCTCTTCCTCTTCCTGTCACTGTGAATGCAAAGACATCTCCTCGCCCCGGAAAGTCCCAAGCGCGTTCCAGCTATTCCTGCAAACGCGCACCCTGCAGCAGTTGGCTGCTTCTGAAACTTGGCCTCAACCAGGATCGGGTTTGGGAGCCTCACCCAACAAGACAGATATCACCACTGTGCCTTACCTCGACTTGTTTGCTCTCGACTCGCCCCCCCCCCCTCTCCCATAACTCACTCACTCGTCCACGAAACCGCACTCCTCGCAGAAGCCATAAATAAACTATGGTTCGGGGCGCCCTCGTACTCCTTGCTGCAGCCTCTGCGGCTACTACCGTCAACGGCCTCTTCAGCGTCAACGATGACATCCTAGCTTTCCCGCAGGTAAGCTCGCTGTCGGAGCTCTCCCCCCGCTGCCCGCACAAGTGCAACTAACCCAATTCGCCCCAGTACGAGATCCAATTCCCGCCGGAGCCCATCCCCGCCTCGGAAGCATCCGCTCTGCTTGCGCAAGCCCCCACCTCCTCCGCCTCTCCCGACTCTACCACCCCCGACGACGCCGCTACCTCCTCCGAGTCCTACGAAGCGCTCTGGCTCAACAACCGGCAGTATCTCTGCTCTGTACCCGTCGTGCAGGCGCCACCGGCCCTCAACGCAACCGAGAAGGAGCTCTCCCGCGCTGCGGAGGAGAAGGAGCTTGCGCGGGCGACTACGCGCGGTTGGGAGCTGCTTAGCGGGCTTGAGGGCGAGTGTCTGTATTTTGTGTCGGGATGGTGGTCGTACTCGTATTGTCATAACCGCGAGGTTAGGCAGTTCCACCAGAAGGCGCCGACCGCCGGGAACAATGCGCAGTGGCCACCGGCGGAGGATCCAATGACGCCGAGTTACGTCCTGGGTATGGTGACACCGGAGCAGAGGGAGAGGGAGAAGGGCAAGGGCGCCGGGACAGAGCTACAGGCGACAGGGGAGCTGCGCTTTTTGGTGCAGAAGTTGGGCGGTGGGACGACATGTGATTTGACGAGGAAGGAGAGGAAGATTGAGATCCAGGTGAGTCTTGGTATTCGGGCTAATTGGGTGCATGGGTGTGACTTACTGACGCTATGGGTGTAGTTCCACTGCTCGACAAAAGGAACCCACGACCGTATCGGCTGGATCAAGGAAATCTCCATCTGCTGCTACCTTATGGTAGTGTACACCCCGCGCCTCTGCGACGACGTTGCCTTCCTTCCGCCGCGCGAAGACCGCGCGAACGCCGTGCAGTGCAGAGAGATCATGGACCCAGAGACACTAGCCGAGTACTACGAGCAGAAAGCCGAGCTCGAGCGCACTGAGGCCCTAGAGCTGCTACAGGCCGCCCTGGGACTCACCGCCGGCGGGGCCGAGGCCGAGGAGGGCCAGAGTAAAGTGGAGAAGAAGAAGGGAAAGAAGAAGAAGTCGGCGGTAGCGGGAGAGGAGAAGAAGAAGAAAGCTGTGGGGGAGGAAGAGAAGCTGGTGTTGGGGAAGGATGGGGAGGGGGCGGAGGAGCATTGGCATGATGAGTTGTAGTGTCGTCTCTTTCTCCGATTTATTTTTATTTTTCAAAATAGCTCTTTTTTTTCGCTGTTCTTTTTCTTGTTCCTGTTAAGTGGGGTGGGGTGGGGTGGGGTGAGTGTATGATAGATTAGGAGTGTAGAATGGGGATGGTCCGAGTGATGGGCTGTGATTACGTGCGGACGGGAAATGACTAGGATGCCGCTAACTGCGTAAGGAGGGGCACGTGATACTGGTATTGTGCATGAGAATACGGAAAAACAGATATGGAAAATGGCATTCCAGGAATGGGAATTATCAATTGAACCGTGGGCTCTGCCTGTCTTGTCCTGTATTACGAATTGCGAACCGTGAATTGCGAACCATCAATCGGCGAATCAAAACTACATACAAAAAAAACTCTCAAGCTATTTACATTTACTGAGGTCCACTCGAACCGTGTAAAAACCGACCAACACGAAGATGCGAATCGCAATGAACACACCCACCCACCCACGCACACTGCAATATTGGCCCTGCTATACAGGTAGTTGCGAATCTGCCTGAGTGAGTGCAGTTTCATCGGGCATCGTTCGCCCTACCATGCCCCCATCGGGATGCGGCTTGAGTAGAGTATATGTATGGATTGGTGTCAGTGGCCCGCGGGTGCCACATCCACGGTTCTATGCAGCGGAATGGTATGTACATATAGGTACAGCGGGAGGGAGGAGCGGGATGGAGGGCGGGGGGGGGGGGGGGGGGGAAGGGTGTTTACGGGAGTGGAGGCGGGAGGGGGAGGTTCGGGGGTGTACACATAGGTAGCAGTAGAGGGAGATAGCAGTAGTTTACGAAGCCTTGAAGATAGGGCGCTCGAAGATAGCTCTATCTTTCTATCTTTCTATCTTTGCTTTGCTTTAATTCTACCCTGTTCTGTTTATGCCCTCAACACTGACTGACTGCGATCTACATACGCATGCCATGAGCTCTACTTATGCCCGACGCCGGGCCCTTCTGCACATATTGTGTGCATGCCAACTTAACCGGGAGCAGCAGATAGATTGCCTGCCTGCCTTGCATTGCCTATGCAAAAGTAAAGTACGTAGATCGCTCTTTTCATGTACGACATTTATTTATGTATACTGTAGATTGTTTGTCTCGTTTCACCCGGGGGGGGAGGGGGGGGAGTTATTGATTGTTTCATCGCCCGCCGGCCGTTTGGGTGTTTGTGGGGAAGGTTAATATCAATGCCTGCTCTGATCATCTCTGTTACGCTATCATCTATGTACCACCCACCGTCACTTTCTTGGCGGGGGATCTTTTCTTTTGGTTTTTTTTTTTTCGGGGGGCTGGCTGGCTGGCTGGCTGGACTGACCCGAGGAGGCGAGGCAGCACGGGACGTTTTGGGGATCCGAGGATGTTGATGGCGAGGTTCGGTTCGGTTAGGTGCGAGGTGAGCGTTTTTTTTGGGTGTTCGGAGGTGAGGTGGTGAAGGAAGGGGGCAGAGGTGGGTGCTGGACCCCGGGTATTTACGCTGAGAGAGATCTTGTGGTACCGAAGGATGCATGGAAGGGTGGAGGGGTGCGACGGAGGGGAGGGGAGGGATCGGGTGGTTGTAATATCTGCGTGGTACGTACATGAATGTAGTCGCGGGCTGGCTGGGTGTTTCAGGGTTGGTGCATGAAGGGAAGGGGAATACTCTACATAATTAAGGGAGCTGTGGTTTGCCGCGGCGAACCAAATGACTGGTGGATGGGGATGTGTTGGTGGTGATTGCGGAGGCGAGTGTGAGAATTGGGGGAGTTGGGGATTGGGTATCGGGGGTGGAGGTATCGGGGGATTGGTGGTGGTGGTGTTGCGGGTGCGAGATAACTGGATGTCTTGGCTTTGGTTTCTTAGCTTCTTGATGTCGAGATGTCTTAGAAAGTGTCTCTGGAGGGTTAGTAGTTACCAGGAAGTGGGCCCTCTCCCCGCAAAGTGACAAGCAAGCGCCGTTACGACAGAGGAGGAGGGGGAGCGTTACAGGTGGAGAGGAGATAGAGTATGGAGATAAGTAGAGTGCAACCAAGCAAGGAACAGAACATATACATGGGGCCGGGGGACAGCCTACAGAAGTGACAGACGACTGACTGACTGTCACTGAACTGACGGAAGTGTCAGTCCAATGCTTCAATGGGCATAGGCGCTGCTCTAGTTGGCTGTGTGATCAGCTGCAGCTATGGATGAGGTTAGCATTACATGTATGTCCATGTATGTCCATGTATGTCCATGTATGTAGCAGGACAGGTGTGTGCTAGTAGGAGTGACTTGACTGACAACCGGAAAGAGTCTTTCTTCTCTTCTTTCAACGTCACTTCATTCACGATATCGTCCATATACTTGCTTTGACCGAGAGATACAACCTGTCTGCCGGTGGGGGGAATAGTAATAGTAATAGCAGGCAGTTGTTATTTCTCAAAGTGCTGGCTGCTGCAGTATCTACACAATTATAACTCGGATTCGGACGCACTCGCATTATCTATCATTCACTCAATCATCTCTCTCTACTTACTGTAACCCCCCTCGTCCCTGTCATTTCGCGCCCCCCCGTCACCTTCATTATCCTCACTCTCATTCTCGCTCGCCTTCAACCCCCCCCCCCCCCCCCCCCCCCCGCGCCTCGCTGATGCTTTGCTGGGTGTTGCTGTCATAATTCTCACACACCCTCTCCCCGCAATAGGAAATAGCCCTTTTTTTTTTTTTTGATTTTTCTCCGCTCACCAACCTCCTCAACTCCCTCCTCGACAACACCATCACGACTCGGCCCTCACACACCACACACCCACACCCTCCCACACCCTCCACACACCCTTCTCCGCTCACCCACCCATTCACGGCGCTATGATGCGAGCGTCATGCAGCAGCTCCTCCTGCTGCTGCTCATTGCGCTCACGCCTTATGGCTCAGACTCAGGGCATTCGCTGCGGCAATGGTAGCCTGCGTGGCCTGGCCTCCTCCTCCTCGTCCTCAGCAACGGCCTCCTCCTCCCCTTCCTCCTCCACGCTAAGGACTCCCAGTGAATGGGCAAGAGTGTACCCAGTCGCAGCTGCATTGCCGGGTGGAGGAGATAATAACAGCAGTACTCCCACCACCTGTTCAGGGGAAACACTACCAGTGCCGCTGCAGGTTCCACCACAGCAGCGCCGAGTTAATATAATAGTGTCGCCCATCCTCTCGCAGCTCCATCCTGCTGCTTCCTCTTACTCTGCAAAGTCGTCCTTGCTCTCGGAAAAGTGGTTTGCCTCTACTGCTGCATACATGTCTCCGTCTCTTGCAAACCCGCTGGTTGTTTCTCCTACGCCTATACGGCCGTTCTCGACGATGGGGAACTCGAGGTTTAGCACTTCTACGCCGGTACTTAATGGTAGTGCCACCAGCACCGCAACCGCAGCTACCACCACCACTACTGCCGTACCGGCTGCTACTGCTACACCACAGCAGCAAAAGTTCACATACCACATCTCGGCATCCTTCGCCGCGAAGCAGAAGCGCTTCAGTCCGACGACAAACATATTCAACTTCAACCCCTACAACCGCGTTCAGGACTCCGCGCGCCGAAAGTCACGCCCGGACGCGGGACAAGATGCCTTCTTTGTCTCACGGATTAACGATAGTGGCGCCGTCGCCGCGGGAGTGGTAGGTCCCCCCCTTGCCTTGTGTCACTTTGTGGGGGGAGTTTTGAAGGGGTCCGTGGGCTAACTAAACAAGGCGGATGGCGTGGGCGGGTATGCCGAGTCCGGGATCGACTCTGCAGACTTCTCACACACTTTCTGCGAGCGCATGGCTACGGCCGCTCACCAAGCGACCACCGAAAGCGTCAGCGCAAAACAACTTATCGAGACGGGATACCGCCGCATCCTGGATGAGGACGCAATCGCGGGCGGCGCAAGCACGGCCTGTGTCGGCGTCGCGAAACCAGATGGACAGCTCAATGTCGCAAAGTAAGACCCCCACTCCCCAAACACACATACTTGTGAGACCCATTGCTGACACAGATGTGCGCCCTCACCTCAGCCTTGGTGACTCTGGCTTCCTCATCATCCGCCAAGGAAAGATCCACTATGCATCCGCCCCGCAAACCCACGATTTCAACACCCCCTACCAGCTCGCAATGATCCCAAAGAAGCTTCTTGCCCAGGCGCGCCAGTTTGGTGGCGGGCCGTTCTCGGACGAGCCGGCGGACGCACAGGTGTCGACGCACTCGCTGCGCAACGGCGACGTCGTTGTCTTTGCGACCGACGGCGTCTGGGACAACCTCTCGATCCAGGACGTGCTGCGCGTCGTCACGGACGAGATGCAGATCGGCAAGGGCTGGGTCAACAGCGGCGACGTGGGAATAGTCCCAGCGCCGAACTTGGAGGGCGTGGCCGCGAAGACGGACGGAAAGGGAATACAGGCGCAGGTTGCGAGGGCAATTGCGACGAGGGCAAAGAGCGCGAGCGTCAGCACAAAGCTGGACGGGCCGTTTGCCAAGGAGGTGCAGAGGCTCTTTCCGGGGGAGAACTTCCATGGTGGGAAGAAGGATGATATATGTGTAGTTTGCATGGTTGTAGTCGAGGTATGTTTGGTTCTTGTTTAGTGTTCTTTTTGTTTTGGAGTTGGGGGTTTGATACTGATTGTTTGTGGGGAGTAGGCAAAGGGCTCGACGGCACCGAAGTTGTAGAATATGTATTTTTTGTTCTTTCCCGTTTTCTTTTTTTTTTTTTTTTTGTATCTCTCTCTTTTTTATTATTATTATCATGCTGCATTTGGGGATATAGACGGGCATCTCTTTTTCTTCAATGGCTTGTTGTTCATTCTTACCTCTTACCTCTTATCCATCTAACCACCACCACCTACCACCTACAATCTACTCGGCGCCCTACACTGCGCCGGACATAACACACAACACAGCACAACACAGGACTAAGGGTGCGGGGTGCTATATACACGCCCTCAACCTCCTCCTTCACAACACTATTTCCTTCTTTATATATATATATACTTAGTTTGTCTCTTTTGTTTTTCGTCATGCCCCAAAATGTGGGTTCGGGGGCCGGGGGGTCACTTTTTTGCGCTTTCTGAGGTTGCGCTTCTGTTCAATGCGTTACGAAAATCTGAGTCACGAATTTCCTTTGGGCAGGCGGGCGGGTATGGGATTGTATTAGTAGCGGGAGCGGGGAAAGGGGTTCGGGGGTTCGGGGGTGCGAGGGGAGGGCTGTAACAAGGGGCTGCTGCTATGGATAACTGGTATTCGTTCATGATTATAGACGGCAATCGTGTGAATTGCGCAATTCTTCATACTCTACCTTGATTGATTGATCGATTGATATTTATAATCCATTCTCATCTCTTGAAACAAAAACCCCCAAAAAAAGTCCCTGCAAAATAAACTACCTAGGCCTACACTTGCTGAAACCTGAACGAGCAAACGAACAATGACGCTCGCTGCATGCAATGCATCCTTTTCCCTTCCGTTTTTTTCTTTTTTTCCCCCCTACATTTCTTCAGATGACCCTACCTACTAGCTTCCTTTTTTTGGTTTGTTGACGTTATGATTTTTGCTTTTTTTGGTTTTTGGGTGGTGAGGGTTATCATCATGTGGAGGGTTTGCTTTTTTGTTGTTGCTTGGAGGTTGGTGGTGGGCGGTTGTGGTGGGGCTTGAACGGTTTGGGTTAGTGTGGAAGGGAGGGAGGCGCGAGTGATGGGCTGTGACTGCAATCGATATAAAGTGTGATGATTGCTGAGATACATGTAGTTGGACATAAAATCAAATATAAGAAATCCGGTGGCCTATCCATACTTTACTGCTCGTCTTCCTCCTCCGATTCTAGCGGTTTGTTGTGCGGCGTAAGTCAGTGCGTAGTCAGCTTGATAACCCGAGTCACTCTCATGATTGGAACCCGGCTCCTTTTTGAAGTAGGTACAGTCGAATCGCCCTATAAGGGTACCTCTGATAAGGGTAATCGCCTTATAAGAGTACAAGCCGATTCCGGCCTTCGGCCGGTAAGGATAATGAAATAGGGAGGGGTGAAGACTCTACATGTCACTAGAGCTAGAGGGTTGTAGTATTGCTGTGGGGGGTGTACTTTCACATATGGTGAACTGCCGCTGAGCTGCCCTGTTAAAGAGGTCTACTGTCGGTACCTGTTAAGCGGTGTTCTTTGATCTGATTAAATGAGCTGTACTACTATCGCCTGGATACTGTTAGGCTAGGGGTGTATTTAATGGTGTGTATTGTCGTCATGCTAGGGAGTTAAACATACCACAACCACCAAACACATATCACAAATACCCCTAAGATTCACTAGTATTTTTTTTACTTTTTCTTAGCTGATTCAAACAATACCAAACAATACCCAAAACATACTAAAATCACCAAAGACATATCACAATCACTGAATAACAGAATAACAACAAAAAGAAATGATAACCTCCCACATAACCTTTCTTTTTAGCTGGCTCACCCTATTCAATAGCTTAAGGAAAAGAAAACATCCAAAACCCAGCCAATCAAAACCTTTAAAATACACATTGCATACTCGGGCTATATACTAATTAGATGGGTTCTCGGGCTATAATAGCCTTCGTAGACACAAATTACCCCTAGCTATAAGGGTAAACGCCCTATAGGAGTACGACTTCGCACCACTTTTGTACCCTTATCGGGCGGTTCGACTGAATATGACTTGTTCGGGTTCTGTGGCTTGTTCGTGGTAGTAACTACGTATGTTATCTCAATGTTAGTGGATATCTACGTATTATTTCGAGTATCGATAAATAGCCGGCATACGCATACCATTGAGGTCTTTGTTACAGTATTGACATTTGGGGTTAGGATCCTCATGAGAAGAGCCTGGTGTGGAGGGCCTGAAAATTGGTCAACGATGAGTTACGTATCAAAGAGAACCATTCGAAAATTATAGTAGTAGTATCTTACCTAACCTTAATGTAGTCTTCTTTCTCGTCAGGGAAGGGGCGTGGTGTGAGGGGCCTGAAAATTGGTCAACAACGAGTAATACATCGAACAATTGTAATCGAATATCATAGCGGTAATATCTTACTGTATTTAGATTTTTCTTTTCTCGGGAATTGCTGAGCAGTTACTACAACTATAGTTCTCATCCTCCTGGAGATTTGGAGAGGACTCGGGCTTGATTGATTGATTGATTAATTCACTAATTGGAGAGGTCTCGGGCTCGTTACTGTTAGGTTCATTTTTTTATCTAAAGTCTCGGTAAACGTGTGTGTACGTGTAGCGCGAGGATCTTTGTGGATCTTCCTCCGGTGTTGAAGTAGGTTATCATAACGAACAAATCCTCTCTCCTCGGTCCTGTCACAGCCTTCGAATGGACAGGAGTAGAGTAGGACAGCTTCACCTCTGGCGTTATGCGGACCGCTCGGACGGCTCGTACGGCGCCAAGACGAGACCGGGGGTGCCATGGATGGAGAGGGAGATTTCTGCTGCAGCATCATGTGCTCTTGATGCTTAATACTCCCGGATCCCGTATTATAATATTTGTCGTCAAAGCTGTACTGGTGTCCAGCTTGTGTGGGTGGGTTGGATAGTATATCGGTGCCTGTGCATTTAGGATTTAGAGGATCCTTATTATTGTCCTCTTGATTTAGCGTCAAGGAGTACGCCGACGCCCTGGGGAGTAAAATTGGAAATGGGCTAGGAGTTATTGAAGCATCCATGGCAGGTATACTGGTGAGCGTTTGTGAAGTACTGACTGTGACTTTATTGAATATTGGTTGAGATTGCTGCAAGCTGGGAGAACACTGATTGATCGAGTGGGGTGTAGGGAGACTTTTGTAATCACTGCTCTCATGTTTAGTGGATTTATTGCATTCATCCTCGATGCTTGCCGACAATGCCATAAGAGCTATATCATCCATATGTGTTCCAATATGAAGTTCGATGGATTCCTTGGTCTCCGGGATAACTTCACAACAAAAGGGACAGGAGATCCGGTCGTTGCCAGCCTTTGGTATTTTAACTTTGCGATTTTCTACAATATCGTCGATATCGGATGCGATGACTGCTCCTTCTAGATGATCCTCTAGGATGTGGCGTATAAACTCCTCCCTCTCTCTGAAAACCTTAGCACATTTATCACTACAGTGCCATTCGAAGGCATTATGTGGCCGGTGATGCTCAAACTCGTGCGCTAACCAGTCATCTCTTCTAGCATATGTGGTAGATTTCCATGGACAATAGTTGAATAGGCAGCTATATGGCCTGAGACTAGCTAGATAATCGCGTGATTTTGGTATAGGCGTTTTGCCGCTAGGTATGGGGTTCAAGGTGCGGCCAGTTGAAGTTGTTGATGTTGAGGCTGGTGCTTCTGACGCAAATTCCAGAAGGGGGTCTATTTCTGATGAGCCTAGAGAATCCCGAGGGATGGAGTTCGAATCGCCTGTTACAGGGTCCGGGAGTATTCTTTCATATGATTTTTGATCTTTGGTCTCTTGGGTGAGGGTGTTCTTTTCCGCGAACCTCCGGCTGCGAATTCTTTCAACTCGTTCCCAGTTTAACTCGGCCAGAGTTTCGATTAGGTGGTCATTAATTTTTGGAAACTTGTTCCGGATGTCTATCCTATATGATTTTGTCGCAGCGCCATAAATTTGAACAGGGGATAGCTGAACCTTTTCATGCAGTTTTTTGACGAGAATATCTTCTTCCTCAATTGGGAATAATTCGCCTATAGAAGGAATGAGGTCAAATAATGAATCCAATGAGTCTCCCAAGTCGCCAACGATCTCGAATAGGTCGAGTCCTAGGGGTTGACCGTCGCTATCGCTATTGCTTCTACTATCGTTGATTGACGCTTGCCCCACTAGGCTTGCAATATCTGGCATAAGTATTTGCACCAAACCTAGTAAACCTTCTAAGTCCAGCATGGTGGGGGGCTTGGATAGATTGACTTTAGGGACTTTCTCACGAGTGGGCGACCCAGTGTTTCTTTTCGTCCTATCATTTTGTAAAGGTTCCTTTATCAGCCCCTCACCACAAGTTTGGTCTATGGGCTCTTCGATCGATACTGATTGGATTGTTGATGTGTTATTGATATGAGCTGCTATGATGTTGGACCGGAGGCTGGGGCTGGGGCTTATCGGAACTCCGTGTGACCCTTTTGGGGACTGAACATTGATATTTGAGAAGTATGTATCAAGTGTTCTTGCTATACTGCATAGTAAGATAACTGTAGACTCTTTCAAGTACTTATTTTTTGCGTTTTCGAATAATATATCAAGCTTTCCCTTGGAGACAGCATAACTATCACCCCATAGTAAAAGCCGCCCTATCTCTTCTTGCAACTTTGCTCGGTCCTTGTTTTTACCCACTTTATGGCTGGCATAGGGAATTGATGCTTTGTATGTAGTTATGCAGAAGACAAAAAGCTCCCAGATGATGTAGTACATATGACCTCGTTCGACGGCTGGATGAACCCGAGAAAGAATTAGACGCAGCACTGTATTTGGAAATATTTTTCCTCCTGTATTCATAATATGATTCGGTAGTACATACCTGTTTGATTCGATCAAGATATTTTGAAATCCTTGGAATTCGAAGATATAGAGAGAGCACCGAGGTGATGTTGGGTAAGGCGTGATTGCATGCAGTGTTAATATATAATGATATTTTAGTGTATCCCCCAGATTTCACGATGGCAAGCTAGAGTTATAATGATCGTGAAAGTTGCGACGATAAGCTTAGTTTTAGAAAAACGTAGAAGAAATATATGACTGTCACTTACTACTATTAACTCATCAAAAGCTAGCGACCCGTAAATTGGCGAGTTTGGTTTTTAAAAGCGGGGCTTGATGGATATATGTGGCAGCCTTGACTGATCAAACCATTTTTCAGCCTCGTGCTGCATGTGCGTGGACAAGGCGCAGTCGCGCACCAAAGGGTCTACATAAAAAATTCCAAGATTTAACTACCAATTATGTTCGAAGATATATGACCTCAACATGTAGATCTTCGCACTAGACATCCACCGTGAGGCCGAATTCAAATAACAGGATCCTAACGCAATGTGGAAATCGTGACCTCATTTTCAATACATCTTTCCACTTCTAAATCAGGATATCCACTCCCTGTAGCAGTTAGTATTTGAATATCAACCCGGCTATTCTATGTGAATCGCGGGCACAAACAAAGGGTTATATACTCGCGCGGCCGAGTTTCGACTTACTCACGTGACGCTATTTAACAGGTTTTTGCGTTATGTGATTAAGTCGAAACTCGGCTGCGCGAGTAAGTATATTAGCCTGATAAAGATTACAACGTCAGCTACTAACTGGTTCTACCGGCTCATAGGCCGGTGCATTAAATATCCATATATCTATATAGCGGCTCCAGCTTATAGCAGTGAAGAAAAAACCAATAGCTCAGACAAATTAAGGATCGACATCGATATCGGTTGGTAACAAGCTTGTACTTTCGCTACATAGAAATTTAGTTGGTAAGATTGACTTCCAGATTTAAGTATAACATATTACAGCTTGGGCTAAATTTTAGAATAGCTTTGAATATGGAGGTTGCGGGGGTAGTTCTCGGGGCAGTCGCGCTAGTTGGGCCAGTACATGATCTATACGACAAATGCGCCATCCTTTTCGCCAACATCCGTAACTACATGAATGATTTGAGGAGATGCGGAGAGAAACTCTCTATCCAAAAGTTTGCTTTCTTGCAATCGCTCCAGCTTCTTCTCAGAAATCTTGTACAGGATGACTTGGCAGAGAGCATGGCGAAAGACAAGACTCATCAAAAATGGAAGGATCTAAAATTCAAAGCTGACTGGGATAAAGCAATGGGCAAGTGTTTTGATGACCTTTTGGGGGGTATACATGAAACTCTGCGCGAAATTGAGGGAAAGCTCTCGAGATTACACGCAAGCGGGGGCGCAAATCAAAATAACACATCGGTGGGTTTATATTTATTCTACCTAAGAGAGAAGGAACCATTAAAGGAAAAGGAGATATAGGTCTCCCGGTCATCAAATATTGTAAGCCGGGCAAGAGTCACAGCTTGGACTCTAAGAACTGGCTGGGTCGTGTCCGGAAAGAAGGAAATTGAAATCCTGATCAATACACTCCGTGTTCAAAATCAAGATTTGGGAAATCTTCAGAGGCAACAGAACTCTTTGCAAAAGACTGGGGCCCGCCCCCGGGCCTTTAGTTCGAAACCTCTCGATTCAAAAGCAATTTTGGCACAGCTTCTCGCTATTTCCGAGGTTGCGAAAAATGTTTACGACGGGTTGGCGGTGACCGCACGGTGTTCTTGTCACCGTGTGAATTTACAGCTCCGAGGACAGCCCGAAAGTCTAGATATCCCAATGAGAAACACAAGCCTAGACCTCACCTATAATGCTTCAAACCTCACCAAAAGTGCTTCGGAAATCAACTTTTACCTTATCCTAACGAAGGAGATCGGAAATCAGAATACCAACCTTAACTCTGATGAACGTTGTGAGTGTACATGCATTACTATAAGTTCTGAGGTGCAGCAATCTCTCCCGGGGAATCCAAATCAACTATCTTATGGGGTACCGGATCCTAAGAGGATAATTAGGCTTGGCGGTATTGAAACTTCTTCTGCACGCACCATTATAACGGTAACCGATGACAGTCAGCCTTTAAAGGAACGAGCTATGTCGATAGACCTTGGGACTGGAAAGAAAATATTGAAACTTGAGCTTTCCGAAACTAATCATAAAGCTCACCCCGCGACGATATGCACTGCCACGGTAGACATTCAGACCAACAATATAACTCACGATATCGATGAAAATGGCACTACACTTTCTATGACCTCCCAGGATATTATAGAAATCGATAGTCTTTGTTTACGACTAGCTAAACTCCGGCCAGAAGTACGGGGGCGGGAGCTCATTGGGAAAATATCAATAAACGAACGCGATAATTTAACCCGCCACTGCCTAATGTATCGGGAGCCTCTAGTCTCAGGCTTTACTTCTCGAACTTCACTAGAGGCAATTCTGGCACGGCCCGATAAAGAATGTCTATTACCCCCTATAGAACGTCTTAAAATAGCCCACAGGCTATCACTCTCACTACTCTACTTCGGGCCGAACTCTCCGTCGTGGTTTCAAGAACGATGGCGGAGCCGGGATATCTTTTTCTTCCTGAAGCTCCAGCTTCCAAACAATAGATACACTTTGGATCCATATGTAGTACCATGTTTTTCAGCGGCAGTAAAGCCCCCTTCGATCAATGCCAAAGCCCCGACTACACCATTAAAAGGTATCGCATTGAATGAACAACTCTTTTCCCTCGCAATAGTGCTCATCGAAATTGCTTTTGGGGAAAAGTTACTTAACATCTACGAACCCAAAGAGATCCCTAAGAAAGACGACGATGATTTTACGGAGATCCTTAAGGCTCGGAGTATTTTGAGCTCGAATACCCTTTTAAAGAAGATGGGGCCTGTATACTCTAATGTGGCTAAGCGGTGTTTGGATTGTCGATTCGACGGGACCCTTGAGTGCGATCTCAGCAATACCGAGTTACAAAAAATATATTATGAACAGGTCGTTTGTGAGCTCGAACGTTGTCTAAAGGCAGTCCAGAAAATGCATGAAATTTAGTGATGAGTGTTCGGGATAGGGGGACCTTCAAGGACGACGCTCATTTTTGGTTTTCTTTTTTATACACATACTGTCACGAGCACTATGGCTGGGATGTCAGTTGTCAGTCTTATTTTTATAAGTCACTATCTCTTACATTCAGAAGTTACTTTTCTTATTTTCATAAGTCACTATTTCTTACATTTGTTACAGGCTACTAGCCTATCATTTTACGGTTATATTTTCTTTTCTTTTCTTAAAAATATGTGAGAGGCGGAGGAAGTGATTGGGAAGTTCTGGGGCAGTGTGATATTGTCATAGACTACGGTCTGCATACAATTAATGAATTAAACAAAAAAAAAATGTCAGTTGTCAGTGACCTCAAATTGTCTTGTATTTTTTCGGGTCTTTATCAGTATCAGTGGGGATCTGTCCCATATTCTCGTGTCCCATACATGTAGTTCTTTTGTCAGCAGTCAGGAGCAGGGGAACGCTATTAGTATTTTGATATCCATGAGTGTATGTACATGACAAAGTGTTTTCTCTTTCATTCCAGATCCTTTCCCTCTGTAACTATTAGATAAGGAATCGACCTGTTGTTCCCTCTCTGATTCCGTTTGAAACTGCAAGATCTAAAGAAAGAAGAAAAAATGCTTTTAGATTGCCTTTCAATTCTGTTCTTCCAAAACTCCCGCAGAAAGGGGGCGTAAGACTCAGAAAGTAGTTTGCCCGAAACCTTCATGTTGTGATTGTCTATTATTTTGCTAGCAATACCAGGAGCACCTTATTCTCAGAAAAAAGAGGATCGGAATGAAATCCTATCCCAACTAGAGCGCTCGTCACTGTATATCTACAGACTCGATCAAGCAAGTGTAGTTTCTCGTCAAATTCATGGCGTTTCTCCCCATGAAGTAGCCTTTAAATACATGTAGTGAGTATTACACGCGCATAGAAGGATTAGATAAATAAATCACATATTATCACTCGGTGCTAGACCCTTCCAATTCCCGAATTGATCCTTAGTTATTACCAAATTTTGACTATTATACACTGGAATCTATAGGCATCCATACATTTCTATTAAGCCTATAGCTCGATATCCTCCCTGGCCCATAGCTTACAAGTCCTATCCTGCCCACTACTCACAATAAACCTATTGTCTCTACTCACATCCACACTCATGACGTTCCCTGAATGTGCGCTCAAATTCTTGACCAGCGCCCAATCATCCGTCGAGAAGATGTTGACATTTCCGTCAAACCCACTAGTGACGAAATATGTTCCCTCTGTTCTCATAATATCTGCAGCTGTCCCCTCCATCTCATCGACGCCATCCGGTTTCCCAGAAAAGAACCGGACATCCGATACCAGCCCCTTGTGAGCCCCGATTGTGGCCGTACATCGTACCATACGTACGTCCCAGACCTTGACGGCTGCATCGCCGGAGGAACTAACAACACGGTACCCGTCGGGGCTCCAGGCAAGGCCTGTTATTTCTCGGATATGCCCGTCAAGGACCATTATTGTGCGGCCCGTCCGGAGATCCCACACACGTCCAATAGAGTCAAGTCCACCAGAAGCGATCAGCGCACCGTCGGACTGGAAGGCAACAGAGTAGACTTCTCTACTGTGACCTTCCTGTAGGAGCAGTTCTTTTTGCGTTGTGAGATCCCATAGCCGCCATGTTGTGTCAAATGAAGCTGAGGCAAGATAGTTCCCACTCGGGTGGTGTTCTACTCTAGCAACACGCGCAGAGTGTCCCGAAAGCGTAGCGATAGGAAGATCCTGTGTGAGGGACCAAAGGTGAATATTGCCTTCGCCGCCTCCGGACGCGATATTAGCGGATGATGCGTCCAGAGAAACAGTAGCCTGTGGGTGCCAGGAGAGGCCTCCGACACGGTCAGTATGGCCCCTAAGGAGACCTTTATCCTCCATATTTGGCACGCCGAGGAGCTTGATACTCCCGCTCCAAGACCCCGCTGCAATGATCTCGCTATTTGGAGAAAACCGTGCTATTGAGACTGCACGCTCCCCGGCCAATTGTGATCCAAGAACTTGGTATCCTGATAGCCGCTCCTTGATCGCCCGTCTGTGTTTGATATGTTTTTGTAGTGGCACCCCCGCCTCCATTCTTTGCCTCTCTACCCGCTCTTTCGCTCTTGGCAGCGAGTATCCTGCCATCCATCTTCGTGCCTCCAGCAGCGCCGGTTCTCCTGGAGTGTAGAACTCCTCGTCCTCGTCCTCGTCCGCCTCAGGCGATGACACCCCACCAATCATATCCGTGTCCTCACCACCAGCCTCCCTAGATGTCCCTTCTTGTATATGGTAAAGCAGCTCCCGGAGTCGATCTCGACGGTCGGCTGGACCTTCTCCGAAGAGCGTTATGGGTTCTTGGAGCTCCCGGAGTCGAGCACGTACCCGGCCGTCGTCGGTGGGGACAATAATAGCCGCGGCCTTCTTTTTGCGCTCCATTTGTGAGATGATTGCGGAGGCTTTTTCTGGGGCGACACCTGCGCGTGCCGTCGAGGGTATGTTGTAGTCGCGGTCGATTGGGACATTGTTGAGATCGAGCATATCGGAGTCCTAGCTGAATGTTAGTATGGATTGATTGCAAGTGTGAGGAGAAGGAGGGGTACATCATCTTCGACATAAGCCTTCCGAGAAGGGTGGATGGCAGACATTTCTGAGGTGAGATTTATAGGACGTGAGGGGTACTTCCGACGAGAATCGCAGCTGGGGCTGCTAAATTGAAGGTGCGAGTATTGAATATTAGCTACGACTAGTAACTGGATAGAGGTGAGGTTGAATGTGGCTGAGGAGGGAGGGTAACTGCCCACGGGGTTAGACTGGTTTGCCACAACCCCTTGGCGAGTCTAGGATGAGGCTTGAAAGTCTTGTTTTGTTACCCAGCTAAAAATCCACTTGTGTTTCAGCACCCTGTTACCCCTGCTGCCCTAGATCACCCCACATGTTTCTAACTGACTACGGTTACCCGGTTGGATATTATCAGGGTTAGGGTCTCATTCTGGCCACCTTTCTTGTTCTCCCCTGCTCAGTGGAAATTTGGAAGGAGCATTCAGCCGCGTGTTCAGCAACAAAGAGTAAGTGAGACGACAGCTCAAATTGTGTTCAACAACTTCAGGGGAACAAAGAATCCTCCTCCTCTTTTTCTTCATATCCATCTTTCTTCAAAATAACTTGTTGCTTTAATCAGTTTTTATAATTCAATCTTCTACTATTTCTCTACACTCGTTACTCGAATTATCTCTCTCAGCTCATTTGTTCTTAACGACAGAATGTCGGACTCTCCCGTAGGGGTCCGCCAGCGCTCCTCTAAAAAAAAGTCGCCGTCATCGCAGGCTGGGGTTGGCTCAGGGTCTGAAGATGAATTATTATCAAAGACAAATGCCCGGAATGTTGCCTCTGTCTCTGCGCCTACAACTTCAAAATCGCCATCGCAGCTTGGACACAAGCTTAGTTTAGTTCTAGTGACTGTTTTAGCCTTCATCACAAGATTCTGGAAGATTAGCCACCCCAATCAGGTGGTATTTGATGAAGTGCATTTTGGAAAGGTGGGTTCCTTTAGAGGAAAGAATTGAGGAGTACAATGATTACTGACCCGGTGTGCAGTTTGCTTCTTATGTATGAAATCTTTAGAATATTTTCTCAAAACCCTTGGAGCTGTAGCTCACTGATTACATTTTGCAGTATCTACAAAGAACATACTTCTTCGATGTTCACCCGCCGTTCGGAAAGCTCCTTTTCGCCCTTATGGGTTGGTTCGTTGGATACGATGGGCACTTTAAGTTTGACAACATTGGCGATTCTTACATCGACAACAAGGTTCCTTATGTGGCTTTCAGAGCTATGCCGGCATTAATGGGTTCTCTGACAGTCCCGGTGGTGTTTCTAACCATGTGGGAGAGTGGTTATAGTCTGCCTGCTTGCTTGGTTGCGACGGGATTGGTTCTGTTTGGTAGGATCTGCACTCGGGGTGTACTCAACAGCCATTGCTTATGATTGTGAATAGACAACGCCCATATTGGCCAGACTCGTCTCATTCTCCTCGATGCGACCCTTATCTTCGCCATGTCACTCTCAATCCTCTGCTACGTCCGATTCTACAAGCTCCGTCACATTCCTTTCAGCCGTAAATGGTGGAAGTGGCTTCTGCTTACGGGTGTTTCTATGTCATGCGTCATCTCCACAAAATACGTGGGAGTCTTCACATTTGTTACTATCGGCGCGGCTGTCGCAATTGACCTGTGGAACCTTCTCGACTACAAGCGTGGCCTCTCTCTTCAGCAGTTCACCAAACACTTCGCTGCTCGCGCCTTCGGACTGATCATTGTGCCTTTCTTTTTCTACCTATTTTGGTTCCAAGTTCATTTCGCGATTCTGTACCGTAGCGGGCCAGGTGACGACTTTATGACTCCGGAATTTCAGGAAACCTTGAGCGACAATGCCATGTCATTGAGTAGTGTCGATATTAACTACTATGATACTATCGTTCTCAGGCACAAGGAAACCAAGGCCTACCTACATTCTCACCCCGACAGGTATCCATTGAGATATGAGGATGGAAGGATTTCCTCTCAAGGTGTGTGCATGCCGGGTGAGAATATATGAAATAAACAAACATAGGCTTACAAAATGATTAGGCCAGCAGGTAACCGGATATCCGTTCAATGATACAAACAACCACTGGATCATTCTTCCCGCTGTATCAGTTCCTGAGGACCAGCGCACCAACCTCCCTGTTAAAAACGGAGATATCGTCAAACTCCGCCATGTTGTCACCTCCACAGATCTCCTCTCTCACGATGTCGCCTCACCTTGGTTCCCCACCAACCAGGAATTTACCACTATTGAAATTGAAAAGTCTGAGGGTGAACGCCATAATGACACTCTTTTCGAA